GTGGAGGTGACCATCAACAAAAAGTCTTCAGGTGGAGGAGTTGGAGGTATGCAGACCAGACACCATTCTGAAAGTCAGGCTAGGTCTAAAGCTCAGAAAGGAAATGGAAATGGGAGCCAACAGTCACTGTGCCAGGTTGAAAGCACAAAACCATCAAGTTTGTAGACACCCTTGTCTCTAAACTGCCAGCCCCATGGGAATAAAGCAGGAGCTAGCACATGCAAAATGCATCGGAGGGCATACTGACAGACTGACATCTGTCATTCTAACCTGCACAACAAAACAGAATCATGGCCACTTTACAAATGAGGAAACAGAATCATAGAGATCAGGGAGTCTACTCAAGGTCACAAAGAAATGGCATGCTGGCTAGTTTTATGTCAGGTTGACCTAAGTTAGAGTCATTTTAGAGGAGGGAACTTTAGCCTGGCGTTGGTGGCGCACGCCTTTGATCCCAGCACTCGGGAGGCAGAGGCAGGAGATCTCTGTGAGTTTCAGACCAGCCTGGTCTACAAGAGCTAGTTCCAGGACAGCCTACAAAGCCATAGAGAAGCCCTGCCTCGAACCCCCACACATACACTTACAAAAACAGTAGAAGGAACCTTAACTGGGAAAATATCTCCAGATTGGCTTATAGGCAAACCTGTGGAACATTTTCTTTTCTCTCCCCACCCCACCACTCTGTTTCTTTCTAATAAATTGACAATTAGATTTCCAAATTTCTGAAATAGCCAACAGAGCTCCACCAAACTGCTGGCCTTGATTCAGGGCCTTGGTACATTTTCTTGAATGATGATGATTGACATGGAAGGGCCATGGTGGGCTTATGGTGGGCAGAGCCACCTCTAGACAAGCGGTGCAAGGTGCAGTAAGAAGGCAGACTGAAGCTAAAGAAGCCATTAGGGACAAGCCGGTAAACAGTACCCATCCACTGCCTCTGTGTCAGTCCCTACCCTGACTTCTCTCAATAATGGAGTATGACCTGGGAGTGAAACTTGAAATAAACTCTCTTCACCCCAAGTTGCTTTCGGTCATGGTGTTCTACCACAGCAGCAAAGGCCTAACTAAGAAAACAATTATAAGTAAACAGACTTACTGAGTATCTGCTCTGTACCAGGGTGTCAAGAATATTCTGAACTTTCAAGACAGTAGCAGGGCTTGGGATATAGCTCACACAGGACGGGATGACGTGGCAAACATGACAATATCATTTATATTTATGTAAGGAAAAAAAGAATAAACAACTGATTTCCAATTCCAGGACTCAGGAGACAGAGGCAAATGGATCTCTGTGAGTTTAAGGCCACCCAGGGCTACAGGAGAGAGAATCAGTCTAAACGACAAACAGAGCTCACGCCTTTAATCCCAGAACTAGAGAGGTATATAAGATAGGAGCAGGGTCTCAGGCGATGTCTCCAGGCACGCTGAGGACAAGATTCCCCTTCTAGCCTTGGTAGAGGTAGGAGCTCTCTGGTGGCTTGGCTGCTTTGCTTCTTCAGCTTGAACCCCAACATCTGTCTCTGAGTTTTTATTATTCCTTCTACAACCCTGTCTTCATCTTCATTACCCCAGAACTTTATAAATAGCACACAGCACTGTACACATAGTAGACTTAAACTGTATAAACCAGACTTAGACCACATCAAAATTTTATGGTCATCAAAATAGGAGAAAACTAGGAAATATTCTCTAGAAAAGCCCACCAGGAATTCCTGGCATCTAGCACCTCTCTTTGAAAAGAAGAGGGCACTTAAGAAAACAGTGCTGTCATCCTGTGACTATACCAGATTCCACAGTCAGGACCCCAAGTCTTCCAGGCTGCCGGGTAGTCACCATCCAGACCAACAATGAGGCCAGAGCCAGCCTGTTCCCAGGCCACTGCCACTAGGCAAACAGATGCAGGTATACCATGTGTTCCATGCAGATGCTGATCTTGCCGTCACTGTAGAAAGCCCCATAGAAGCCCACGATGT